ACCAAGACCTCCTCTCAGATATCCCGATTTGTCTCAGTGCTGATCTCAGAATCATCTAAACTCATTTCTCCTCTGTGATGAATCCATAATCTTGTCTATTCTTCTTTAATAATACATCTCAAAATATGTTTGGAGCAGTAACTATGTGAAAACATGAATGGCATTTTAAACTTTGTTAGCCCCTAATTTCTCTCAGTGTTTAAAAAAAAAAAAAGGAATTGGAGTCTAGCTTGGTAACCATTATGTTCCCTTCCAACTCTAAAAATCTGTCATTTTGTGCTGATACGGTTCGAGCCCCAATGCCACATCACACTGTCCTTCTAATTTCACATAGAGCTGATGCAATTTCATCTGAACCCTTTTCTGCCCATCCAGACTGGCTAACTTTTGTTATATTCCGTACTTTCCACCAGGACCATTTTCCCAAAGCCCACCTTCCTCATGCCACACCCATGCTTGTAGTCTTCCTTGATTCCCACACAAGTCCTGGATTTGGGACTCTGTCATTTGGCCATTATCAGTCTTTTCACCTTTATCACCTACCACCCTCCCACATGAACTCTCAAATCCCAACCCAAATGAACTGCTAAAACTTCCCTGTGTGAGACACTCTCGTGTCCATACCTGGCTCATTTAGAATGCCTTCCTGTGCTTTATTCCAGCTATTTGCATTCCATCTGTCCTCCATGACCCAACTCCGATAACAGTACTTCCTTCACGCCCTTCTCCTTAAACTGTCTATTTCGCATCCTCCTTCTCTTCACCCTGCTAACTGATAGACAGGAGCGTCTCCCTAACATTTCTTATCAATACCATTTACTACTTAAAAACCTTCTCGTTGTGCAATATTCAATGCTACCGTATTTACTTTCAATTTATTGTAGTATATATTTGGTCTATTTCCAAAAAGTAATGAGAAAGCTTGGGATAGAGACAACATAAAATAGCATTCCAGCCGGGCTCAGTGGCTCAGCTTGTAATCTCGCGGTTTGGGAGGCTGAGGTGAGTGGATTGCCTAAGCCCGTGGGTTCGAGACCCGCCCAGGCAACTTGGCGAGAACTCATCTCTACAATAAACCAAAAATTAGCTGGGCATGGTAGCGCATGCCTGTAATTCCAGCTACTTGGAAGGCTGAGGCAGAAGGATCGCCAGAGCCCAGCAGGTCAAGGCTGCGGTGGCTGGGAGCGGCCACCGCACTCCAGTCTGGGCGACAGAGTGAGACTCCAACTCAAAAAAAAAAAAAAAAAATAGCATTCCAGTTAAAAAGGGAAGCGAAAATACAATACCATATGTGGGAGAGAATAAGTAACATCAATTAATGAAACTTAAAATCTAGCCATAGATTTGAAACTACTTCCTGGTGGTCAAGGCAAAACAAAAAACAAAAACAAAAAAAAATAAACAAACAAAAACACCACCATTAATTAATATTTGGCAGTGACTTTGTGTGCTTTTAAACATTTTATCTGTATGCATCTTGTCTCACTAACTGTAATATTTGTGATTGTTAAGATTTATTTTAGACATTTGTATACCTAACCCTGAATTGTACCCCACATCTTTAAAATAAAATTAAAAACGTTTATTTTAGGAGTTATGTCCAAAGCATCTAATATAGCATATTGCAAGAGTTTGTTAAGTAAATTAATTGATGACCAATATGATACCGGATCATAAATTTGAAACCATTTTTTTAATCTAGAAAATTCAAGTACATAACAAACACATGAATGCAGATGTGACATAAGAAGATACGGAAATCTTAGAGGGAGAATAAAGGGTTTGAGTCTGTGACCACTTTAGAGGCAATTGAAGAAGGCATTTGTAATCTACTTAATATTTTGGGAGTAGATGTTTATAATGATCTCTCATAATATGGAGTAGTAAACTTTAAAAAAGATAATAAAAAGCAAAATTTTACTGGAACTAAAGTGTATACTTTATGTCATAACCACTAATGGAATAGGTGATAATACTCTGCCTTCTTGAAATACAAATTCACAGCACACACAGCTTTGCGCTTTCCTTCCCTCCCTAAATAGCTATTTTATGGGACTACTGAAAAGATACTGTGCAGATACACTGTTGTTCTTCACACTTTATATTGGGCTTCATTTCTTCTCTACCTAAAGGTTTTTTTTTCTTGGCATAAGGATGCTGTTAAAATGCAGGGAGCTGGGTGCAGTGGCTCACGCCTATAATCTCAGCACTTTGGGAGGTGGAGACGAAAGGACTGCCTGAGACCATGAGTTTGAGACCAGACCGGGTAACATGGCTAGACCTCATCTCTATAATAAATAAAAAAATTAGCTGACCGTGGTGGTGTACACCTGTAGTTCCAGCTACTTGGAAGGCTAAGGAGGAAGGATCACCTGAGCCAGGCTGATGGAGGTTCTGGTGGTCATGAGTGTGCCACTGCACTCCAGTCTGGGTGACAGAGTGAGACTCCGACTTAAAATTAAAAAAAAAAAAAAATGCAGGAAACACCCTAGTTCGCCACTGTTCAATAGAGATTTCTGTATGATGGAAAGGTTTTATATCTGTGCTATCCAAGTAATACAGATATGTTCTATATCTATGCCATAAGCCTCACATGTTGCATACTCAAAATGTGATGAGTACAACTGAGAAACTGAACTTTAAATTTTATTTAATTTCAACTGCTTGAAATTTAAATGGAAATAGTCACAAGTTGCTAGTCTAATGTATTGGACAGAGCAGCTTTAACAGGGTTGCTTGCTTTTAGAACAGACTTTACCTTACTTGATTGGGTACCTTTAATGGTTTCTTTATTATCATGAGAGGTTTTAAGCTACTGTGCATTAACAGTAAAGTTTTGGGTGTCTTCATTCTTTTAAGAAGCCTATGTTGTCAAAAGTAAAATTTAAGGAAATTTATTATTTACTGTCATGGTCACAGGGAGAGAATCATCCTTGTTTTTACTACTGCATTTGTGCTTGGTCTTGAGGGTAAATATTTATGAAATAGGAGTCTCCATAGGTATAAGTAGACCTTTGTTCACTAGCCCTACTGGGGTACAGGCATTCTGGGCAGAATTTGCATTTGTCGGCTTGATGGCATTCTCTGAAGTCCTCTCTAGGCGAGGCATCTGAGTAAGCAGGACTGCCAAATTCTTCTCAAGGTGGACTTTTTTTTAACTGTCCCGTTTTGCTCACAGCTCTAGGAGCAAATAGGTGGGGTTTGGTTTCTTTAGGCCAGCAGGAGCTTGCTCTGGCCCTTTCTTTTAATTTCTTTAATTTGAGGATCCCTGCACATGCCCTTTGAATGCTATTTTGTAAACTGCTATTTCCTCTAAGCCTGTTATGCTGTTTTTCCATCTGTGTTGAAGTCTCTTTTCCCAGTGGGGCCTTTCTTTCTCAACTTAGTCATGCTCTGTGTGGAGACCCACATCCACACTGCTGGCCTCTCTGACTCATCCCGGGAGGTTCGCTTGCTCCAGGGAATCTCACTCACACTGCAGTGGAACAACAGGGAGGCTCTAGTGAAGAGAACCCTTTCTGAAATCTGTCTCTCTTCCTGGCAACTCTCCTTCTTGTTCAAAGCTACATGAGAAAGGGGGGAGAAAAAAAACTCTACAAATGTCCTTCTCCCTTTAAGGTAATGCTTTTTTGTAAATAGTTTTTGGCAATTCTAATTTCCAGTTTATAAGGCACTTTTGCTGTTGCTATTGCTTTTGAATATTCCATAATCTGGCTAGTCAAAAAGCCTGCAAATGCTCCAATTTTCCTTTTTCCTACACCAGAAAGCCAAGAGAGTCAATTCTGACAGTTACATTTTCCTTCCAGTTACAGATTAAACTGTTCTCCCTTTTGAAATATATTATTCATAAATATGAACAGTCTCTGAACTATGGCTCCTCCCATCCATAGATAGGACGCAGGGGGTGGAAATTGTTCATGTATCTCATTGGTTGCTCTGGGGTTGTGCAGGATTGGATCTTCACACCCTAATCCTGGAAGCTAGGTTTTTTCCCAACCCTCCCAATTTCTCAAGGAAAACCCTCTGCCATCCCATGGTATCCCTGTCCAGCTGGGTTCAGACAATAAACGTCTCCCAGTGGACTTGCTAAAAGGGTCAAAGTTGAGTAGCAATGACAATAATAATAATTTTTTAAAAAAGACCCTGACTACTGACCAGATCTAAGTTTGGTCAATAACCCAATCCATTCATCTATTTTTTAATATCACCAAGCACGTAAAAAGAAACTCCAACCCGAATATCCCACTAGCTCAGGGCAGGCTGACCTAGATAGAAAGGGGCAACTTTTCACACCTCAGTAGAGGTGCCCATAAGAGAAACAAGAGGCATAGGTTATTTTTGCCTTAGTAAATCCACTTAATGGTGCACAAGTGCTCTGTTTTTCTAGTTAAAACGCCATACACACACACACACACACACACACACACACACACACACATGCACATATATATACACATACACATTTTTTCTTATCTTTAGTTCTAAGCACTTCTATCCATTTTTACTACTTTTCCAAAAATCACTTCATATGATTTTAACTGTAGGAACATGTTCTGTCTTCTAACTCTCACCCTTGCCACAAGACCTTACGCAGTTATCTTACTGTCTTGATTCCATATGCAATGGGGACCTGTCACTAGACTTTCAACCCGAGAACGGAAAGCAACCATGTCGTCCTCCCGAGGAATAGGGACCTATCTGTGGCTGGGTCAGGAGGTTCATTGCCAGGAAAAAAAAAAAAAAAAAGTGTAGTTTTACGAACTCCTACAAAACTCACCCCAGCTAAATTCCAGCTGAACTAACAGGAGGAGGAGGATGGGGGAAGGGAGATGTGACATTTCTGACGGCCGCGGGCGCTCGCACACTCGGAGCCCAGAAAACGGCGTGTGCGCGGCAAAGCTAAAAAGGATGTGCGGGCCGCTTGCCAGAGGAGGGCTGTCCCGGCCCTGACAGCGGCCGCTCCCGGGGACGCCCCTTCCTCGCCGGCCGCCACGGCTTACCTTGACCACGTCGTCGTTGAGATGCTTGGGGTCGCGGTTGACCAGGTCGATCTCCTTGGTGTGCGCGTCGTATACTTGCTTCTCGCTCACCTCGTCTGCCATGGCCTTGTTGTTGGGCTTGTAGATGTTGCCGTGCTCCCGGATGGGAACCGTATAGAGATGTCCCTGAGGAGGGCGGACCGCCAAGGGTGGAGGGGAGGGTGGCGACGGCGGGCAGGGAGAGAAAAACCGAAGAGGAAGACAAGCGATCAGAAGTCAGCCCGGCGGCTGGGGACCCCCGAGCTTGGAATCGAACTAGCCGCTTCGACAGCGACGGCTCCGCGCTCAGAAACCTCCCGCGCGCCGCCAGCTTTTAAGAGGATCTAGTGGAGGACACCACACCCCTCCGTACCAGGCTGGGAGCGCCGGCCTCCCCCGCCCGCCGCCAG